TATTTATTTACTCACCTGCCTACCTACCAACCTACCAACGAACTTGAAAAGAATCCTAAGGGACTGCCAAAACTTGAATCAGTCTTCTCCCCCTTGACCTTGCTGTAGCAGAGGTGACTTAAAACTGTATTCACAATGTTTACTTCTTTTAGACTCATCCTAATTTCTTTTAGGCTGAACGATTTATTTTATAGTAACAAATATGTTACTTAAATGTAAATCCCAGCAATTCTGAATGACTAATTATGTGTTGTTTTTGAAAAGCAACAGGCAGACTCTACTGGTCTTTTCCCTTTCTGAAATACATTTAAGAAGAAAATAAATAGCACTGGAAAACCTCTAGGACAGTGAAGACAGAGTGGCCCCTGAATCTGCCTGTTCATATAGACAATGTTTCTGCCAAGTGAATGGTGCCCTTAAATGGGGGTCCATGAACTTCGGGAAAGATAATCGCCCCCAACACTGTTCTCAATATTTGTGCGCATGTGCATCTTTCTGAACTCCCAAAGAGGGCACTGTTTCCAGCAGATGTTTAGAACCACATCTGCCCAGTCACAAAGCACTACATATTGTGATACATGATTCCACAGATAGGAAATGTCCAGAACAGGCGAATCCATGGACACAGAAAGTAGAATGGTGGTTACCTGCAGATGGCGGTGAGAGGAAGGGAGCTGGGAGGAAATGGGGAGTTGGGAGCTAATGGGTATGGAATTTCTTTTTGAGGTGAGGAAAATGTTCTAAAACTGATTGTGGTCATGGTTGAACAACTCTGTGAATGTACCAGAATTATGTAAATATGCCATTGAATTATGCACTTTAAATGGGTGAATGGTATGGTATGTGAATTACATCTCAGTAAAGCTGCTATAAAAAAGAGACATTTATAAAACCCTGACCCACCAGAAATACACAATTTAGCCATTCCTGAACAATAGCAATAGCTGGAGGGGGCTCATCAGACTGAATGAACGAAGAAAATGCCAAGGAGAGTAAATATAAGGGCTCCCTTACTTACCAACATAAACCTCAAAAGGAAGGAGACTTATTTGGATCTTTGATGACTTTAGTTTAAATTTATTTTTCTCTGTAGCAACTGGAGCAAACACTACACTAATTGAATTCTCCATGGGTCAAACACCAACAAGTTAGTGGCGACATGTGAAAATGAACCTGATAACCAAAGAAATTCTGTAAGCCCTAGTGGGTCAGTGAGTGGATAACTGGACAACAGCACCAGCTCCTCTGACTCTTTTGCTTCTGGTTATCAAACCTCTCATCAGTTAAAGTCAATGAGTTTTCAACGTCCTAAGATGGAAAGGCAGTTGTAAAGCTTGCATAAAGATAATTCAAAAAATCAAAATATTTAGCAACATTTTCTGGTATATAATACTATCCTTCCCTAGGCAGAAATTGTATATTATAGTGCAAAATATCATTTTCATTAAGGCTGGGTGGGGTGTTTGTTACAAGTTGTGCAGTAGCCCCATACCACATGTTTTCCTCTGTGGACAAATTGTATTTGGAGTTTGTCCTAGGAAATAAATTTAAAGACAAGTAAATTTTTTTAAATAAATACTTATAAACGTTTCTTTTTAACCAAGCATTACTGACAAAACCTTAAAATCAAGGGATAAAATTCTCTAGATTATAGACACAAGGAGAGGGATTTTAGTACAAACACAATGAAACTCCTAATTCAAGATTCCCTTTCTAGCCCAATATTAAGATACTGGGAAAAGAGAGGGAAGAGAGCATGACTTTTAAAAGGCAGCAATCTGACATAAAGCTGAATGAATTTTACCACCTTCTTTAGGGAAAAGAGGCAGGACAATAGGCAGTTTCCTCATAGCAATTTTCATTTTTTAATTATTTGCAGCATAGCCCAACTGGCGTGATTAACATTCACCCATCCATCTGCACACAAAAGCTTTCAACTTTCAACATTTAATTTCTACAGAGAGTTTTAATGTGTTATCAATTAAACAAGTTTTTCCTTCCACTGTGGTTTTTGGACTTAGAGATAAATCTGATTTATTTTTATTTGGGTTGGAGATGATGGGAAGGAAGAGTGGGAAAAGAGAATCTGAATTACCACTTTATCAAGCCAAAGTTAAATGTCATCAGGTTACAACTCTATAGAACTGACACCCTCTGTACCCATGCAGTCACAGGAAGCCAAGATCGACAATGCACAGATTAAAATGCGCCTTCTACACATCAGCCACACAGAAAGAAAAGGTGTAATATGGACACATATACACTATATACACACAGACACCTTGCTAGTTGAGTAAGGATATACACTAAGTAATTTTTCCTGCATTATTTCCACTTAAATGCAAAAAAAGAGAGAGAAAAGAAATAAAAGCAACCAGGTGTTACTGTCCCAGCAAGGATATGACAGCAATAATTTACAATTTCCTTCCATCTCATTCTCTCAGCCTCCATCCCTCTGCCTCTCACTGTGCCTGCCTCTCCACTCACCATCCATTCTCCATTTCCTGATAACTTCTCATCACATTAGTACGTACCTAATATAAAATGGTGGTGTGTGGGAGGATGTTTAAAAAGACAGGAAAAAGAAAAGAGAGAGCATGATTGGGAGGAGGACAGGAGAAAGAGAAAGACTGAGAGAAACAGAGAGAATGTCAATGCCCAAGTCGCGCATTTGCCTATTTAAATTCAATCCTGCAGCCCTGGACGAGCTGAGCGGTAGATGGGCTGCGTTATGAATTTCTGATCAGACAAGTGATAGGTTATGAGAGAGGACATAATCCCATTGAGAAGCCTTTTCTTCTGAGCTGGGGCAAGTAATAGCCTACCCTTGAGAGACAGCTCCTCGCTCTGCCGTGAGTGTGTGTGTGTGTGTGTGTGTGCGCACGCGCGCACGCGCGCATGTGTGTGCATACACATGCATGCACATATATAAATTTTTCCATTTTTAAAATAAGTCAAAATAAGCATTTTATGATGATAAATATGTAGTAATAATTGACGGTTGCCTGCATCTGAAGGGTATGCCTTGACAAATCAGAAACACTTGCCAAATAAATTGGACTTTTTTCCTGTTTTAAACCTAATTAAAATTCTCTCCTTTGCCCATATTGATGACCTGATAAGAAAGTGAAAAGATCGAAAACAAATAACAATGCTGGTGTTTTGGGTACATTCTCTGATTTGCCTCCCTTTCAGTACTTTGTGTTTGCCTAAAAAAAGAAATATCATTCATATACAATGGACAATATAATTCATGTACAATATGCAAAGGACGAAACCAAGCCTAAAAGACTTCTGTTTAATTTCTACACATGTGAAACAATATTTTATATTGCTTTGTGTAGTAATTATAGGCAATTAATTACTCTAGCTCTACTTAAGCGTTACACTAACCAAGAGGTTTGCAGGTTAATTGAAACAGGTGTATTAGCGACAGGGTATTAAGTATCCAAGTCAAGACTTTGCCACAGCTTATGGCTACCGCACTAAAAAGTTAGAAACCACAGCTTGGGTATCAGGTCTGCTGGAGTTGAGTGTATTAGCCTCCTGGCACTGGATGCACCCCCACAAAAAAGACCTCCAGGTCCAATTTACAAGCAGAGGGAAAAGTCAGTCAGAGTTATATGAATGTAATGGAGAGCATAACAAACGAGAGAGGTGTTTATAGATAAAAGTAGGAAACGCTTAATATGTAAGAATAGTCATCATCACATTTAAAGGAAGGAAGGCAGTCGGGTCTCAATCCCTACGCCCCTTTTGAGTGACATCGCATGGAGTGAACGGCATCTGTGCTCCTGGTTTTCCTTTTTCTGCCAAAGGGCATCTCAACACCTGATGGAAATGGACTGCTGAAGAGGAGAAGGAAGAGGAAGGGGTAGGCGTAGGTTTTACATAATGTCCATCTTACGGCACAGATCCACTGCAGGGACCCTCAGCATTCCATCTAACCTAGAGTCCTCTGAACCAGTGCATGTGTGCATGCGTGTGTGTGTGTGTGTGCGCGCGCGCGTGTGTAAAACTTTTCTTTCATGATTTAGGGACATTTTTCTTCACATGTAAATGTACCAATTATTGATTATGGTCTGCAAGATCAAAACTGTGAAAGTCTATCAGTACCATTCTGCCTTTCAAAATATACTTTTTCACTTATGTCACACACGTATGTCAGGGTGATTTCAGTTCTCTTTACCCTCTAAGCTGTAACAGATCCATTAAGCAAGTGTGGATTGGGGGCAGGGAGTGTGATCTGAGAGTGCAAATTATTTACCTGACTTAGATTCATTACAGTCAGGCACACCGCCTGCATTTCATCATCTTTTTAAGATGGGGAACTTGCCCTCAAAGAATATTATGTAAATCCTTCTGTCACAGATTATTGCCTCTATACACGACTTCCACACCGCGCATCCGCCTTCTGCGCAGGTTTGTTACACACGCACAATTTCCCGTTTTAACCTCCCGTCCTTCCCATTCCTCTCCTTCCCCCAACACTCATTAGGGGGGAAATTACCTTAAACAGGACACTCCTGGTTTTCTTCCATTCAATTTACATAATTGTCGTTTTGTTGCGCTTTTCTCATATAGAAATTTTGTTCCCCAAAGGAAAGCATCAATGTTTAAATGGCAAAATGGAGTTACTCTCAGGGTTATAAATGTAGGGGTGCTCCTAGCAATGCACTCTGGAGCATTCTGAACCCACCAGTCTATAAGTCGTTTTCAAGGCTTATGGTCAGTGTTTTCCATGCCGGTGACAACCCACAGTAAAATATATGGCAGCCAGTTACTCTAAGCTTCCTAGAACCACAAAAATAGCTGTTTTAGGATTGACCCCTCATTAAATGTTAGTACAACACAGTGCCAAATCTATAATGAACTGACTTAACTTTGATCAATAATAACAATTAACATCAACATTTGTATACATATAAAGAAAGAAAGAAAAAAACTACTTTTTTTGAAAGAAGCAACTTTTAAAAGAAAGAAAGCTTTAAAAGAGGTACCTTTTGTGGCTTCCAGATTCACATTCCCTTTTCTGTAATTTCTACATCAGGTCCTACAAGAGAAATAAAAAATGTACTTTTAACCATGAAATATATTACAGAATAGTGCAAATACAGCAAACATCCACATAACCTCAAACCAGGTTAAAAAGCACCAACACCTTAAAAACCAGCCCTCCTCCTCTCTCCCACTTCTCCCTATATTGGGCTCTACCATGATTCTTTTCTTCTCACAACCCTGTAAAATGTTCCCACTCTCCTGACTTTTAAGATAGTCATTCCCTGTTTTTTATCATACAACTTTTCTATCTGTATGTTAATCTCAACAAGATTTTAGTTTTGCCTGTTTTAAACTAACATTCAATATTCTTCAGACACTATCTTATTTGCTTAACATTACAAGATTCACTGATTTTGTCATGTGCAGCCATGGTCCATTTGTTCTCATTGGTGTGTAGCATCCCCTTTTATGAATATATCAGTCTTTATTGATCCAATGCTGGTGACAGACATCTCGATTATTTCTAGTTTGGGGCTATAATAAACAACACTACTGTGGACATTCTTGTTCATGCCTCCTGGTACTCATGAGCAAGAATTTCTCTGGAGTATGTATAGTCAGGAATGAGGGGGCAGTGTCTTAGTAGATGAGTGAGCTCAACATTACCAAATAAACAGAACTCTTTTCCAATGTAGTTATCTCAGTTAAGATTCCAGCAAAGTTCCCAATGATCTTTGTCTTCACCAACTTTTAAAAATGTTGTTAAGGTGCTGGGTATGTAATGATACCTTTTTCTGGTTTTAATTTGTACTGACCTGATTACCAGTGGGGTGAAGACTTTTTTCCCCCATATATTTTCTGGCCAACTGGTTTTACTCTTTTATGAAGGGTGCAGATTTCTCATCTATTTTTTTCACTGGATTAGTCTTTTTTTTATTCATTTGCCAGAATTCTTTATATGTTCTGGAAACTACTCTTTGGTCAGTTATATGTGTTACAAATATCTTTCCCATGAAATGGTTTTTCCCTCTCATTTTCTTTATAGTATCTTATGATAAATATAAACTGTCAATTTTAATGTAGTCCTATTTATTATATTTATCCTTATAGTTAGTGCTTTTGTGCCTTTTTAAAGAAATTTTCCCTAGCCTGAGGTCATAAAGATATTCTCTTAAATTATCTTCTAAAAGTTTTATTGGTTTGCCTATTACATATTTGGGTCTTTATTTCATCTGAAATTCATTATTTTGTATACTGTGAGGTAGAGTTCCAATTTCATTTCTTTTTCTCATATAATCAATTGTCCCAACATCATTTACTGAAAAGTCTCCTTTCCCCACTGATTTATAAAACTTCTTCTGCTATCTATCTAAGTATACATACGGATTGTTCTACTTCTTGGTTTTCTATTCTGTCCTATTGGCCTGTTTATTTATACCTGTACCGTTACCACACTGTCTCAGTGTGGCCTAGTAACACATCTTCACACCAGGTAAGGAAATCCCAACTATGTTTCTCTTTAATATACATTTATTTTTTGTAAGTTGGGATTTTGATTGAGACTGCATTGAAGTTTTAGATCAATTGTGAGGAATTGCTATCTTCCATAAACATGCTACATTTCTTCATTTATTTAGGTCCTTTGTAATGTTCAATAGAGTTTTTGATTTTAAGGTTAGAGACATTATAAATCTTTAGTTACATTATGCCAATGTTCTTCATATTTTTGATACTTTTAAAAATGTTATATATTTTTAAATTTACTTTTTATTTGTTACTTGTATATAGAAATGTGGTTCATTTTTCCATTTAGATTTTGTATCCAGCAACCTTGTTAAAGTATTGTTACTTTTAATAATTTTTCAATTGATTCTTTTGGGTTTTCTACATTAATAGTCATATCATCTATGAAGAATTATAGTTTAATTTCCTCCTTTAAAATCCTATACTTTTATTTTCTTTTTCCCACCTTATTGCACTGGCTGGAATGACCAATGCCATGTTGAGTGGAAGCTATAATAGGTAAATTTACCTTTTTCCAGATTTCAAAATGAAATTTTTTTATTGTTTACCATTAAAAACAGTGCTTGCTGAAGGTTTTTTAGATATTAGTTATCAAATAGAAGGAGTGCTTCTATTCCTAGTTTGTTAAAAATTCTCACATAAGACATAATGAATTTTTTCAAATTATTTTTCTATACCTATTAAGATGATCTTATCATTATTCTCCTTTAAGTAATTATGTATTCATTATTACATAACATATAATTATATTAATTGATTTTCTAATGTTAAATCAACATTGTATTTCAGAAATAAGCCCCCGACATAAAATATTATCCTTTATACATGCGCTGGATTTAGTTTGCTAATATTTTTTCCTTAACTTTATATCACTGTTTTTCAAACAGATAGGCTATAATTTTCCTTTTCTCATACTAGCCTTGTCAAGTCTTGCTATCAAGCTTGTGCTAGATTCATAATATGTTAGAAGATGTTTTAAACATTTTGTAATTATAGTCACACAACTAATGGCAGAAAACCAGTGGTGCCTTGAACATTTCAAGTCAACTGCCCTTTCTTGTCTTCCCCTTCCTACCAGATTGGTCGAGGTTCAGGCATAAGACAAAAATTACCCAGGTTAATGTAACAGAGAAAAATTATATAAAGAATTGTTAACTGGGAATAAAGAATTCTTAACGAGCTAACTGAAAAGACAGAAAGAACCCGAAGGTATCAGATAAGTGTAAACCACCCTAAGGCTGGGAGAATAAAATGAAAAGGTTGAAATTATTAAAGCTAAGGGGTTTGAAGAAAGGGCCAAACTCAGGTCTCTGAGGAGGGGTTGCTAGATGGCTGGTGCTGGTGTATCTGAGGGAGATGTGATAAAAACTGTTCTGAAGATGTTAGGATAAATGCAAATGGGATTCAATTGCTCCTACAGTAAGGAACTTTTATGGACAGAGTGGCAAAATGATGCTGGAAGGATACTCAGAGGGGAAAACTGACAGGAAGTCCAAAAGAGGCAGACCAAAAGAGTATGCCACTTTTTCCTCTTCAGCCTTTCAGTATCCTTCCAGTGGTTGCTATTGTCAGAGCTTAACAGGGAACCCACTGGCAAGGCAAAAAATATGATTTGCAGGGTTCTGGCCCCCCAAATCACAAAGCAGCATATATAAAGTTGGGTTTGGAACTGAAAGAAAATAGTTCAATAAGTGGCACAATATTAAAATGGCACATGACAACCAAGACAAAAACTTTCTTACAAATGATGGAAGCCATCTCCACCACCTAGAAACTTAAAGCCATTTTGAGCATCTGGATGAGAAATTCTATATGTCATATGAATTCAAAGCTAAGATTCTCACCATTGCTCCATGTGGTAGATTGCAAATTAGCCACAAAATACTCCTTTCCCCATATCCTTGCTCCTTTATAAACAACTTCGCAGGTTCTCCTATCCAGGGTGAGGTCTATTTCTTCTTCCCTTAAATCTAGCCTTAAACATCCAAGCCAATGGGTGGTTTAATCAATGGAATATTAATAAATATGATGTGTTCAGAGGCTCACAAAGTACTTTTCATCTCTTGCTGCTGGGCACCAATATCACCATGAGCAAAAGCACAGATTAGCCTCCTGGAAAATGAGAGACCATGTGGAAAGAGGTCTCTCATTAGCCTCATTAATCTCAGTTATGTCTAGCCATTTCACCTGAGGACACAGACATGTAAAGTCATCCTGGACCACCAGGCCCCAACCAAGTAAGCACAAACTACATGAATTGCCTAGTTAATATATAAATTTAAAAAAAAAAAAAAAAGTTTGTTATTTTAAGTGACGAAGTTGCAGGGTGGTTGGTTACACACCAAAACTAACTACGTAATACATACCATGTACAACCAAGTACTTTTACAATTCTTCACTTAGTGGGTACGAAGAAATCACATCAACAACAATCAAATCAAGTTCTTATTCTTGCTCCACAGGCTGAAAAAGTATCTTAGGCTTTCCTTTGAAAATCCATCACTCCCAAGAACATCTAAGAGTATTCAAAAGGAGGGTTCCACGTGTGCTTGCAAATTACCTTTCCTACAGACACTGTATAGCATCTGACATGTTTTGTTCTGTCTTGCATGCATGTAAAGCAACTTGGGTATCACTGTTCTCAGTGCCTTTGGAGTCCATTATGAGAAAGTGAATAGCTGGGTCGAGGAGACTTTCTCCAGATGCTTCCAGAGTTGCTAGTCTCTTAGCATTCAAAGTGCAACAATGGGTTCCAGGTAAAAGTAGGGAGACTTCCCCTTTCCCAAACTCTATGCTCTACTTTTCCTCCTAAGCGCTAATAAGTACAGATTCCTAAAGACACAGAAGCTCAAGCTCTCATGAAAACATCACTTTCAACTTATGTTAGCAACTCTAAAACAAGAAGACACACATTTTCAAATGAAAAAAAAAAAACAAGTTTTCTAAGACAGTGCTATCTCCATCCACTTACAAAAGAAGTATCTCCATAACAGAAATACTGTCTCTAAGATTCACTCTACCTATACCATAAAATCAACATTAAATTTTCCACCAAGGCTTTCTAAACACCAGGCCAGTGGAAAATTTTAATGGACCATGGGTATATTTTTTTTAAAATAAACAAATAAGAACAAGTGGTAAAACTTTGTAAGGAACACTTTCTTAAATTTAAAACCCTAGCCATTTTTCTGATCTTATGTCTATTTATTTTTACTAAGCTGTTCTTTGTTTAATGAAATGATTATTACTATTTTTTTCCATTTTTAACTTGCTCCCTTGGTAAAACTAAAGAGTTGGGTCTTCATTTTTTTTTCTTCCAGGAACATAAAATCAAAAGTCTAGGAAACATCAATGCAGAGTGATTTAATTTGTTGGAACCTCTGGACAAATATCTCTCTGTTTTTATTTGGCTTATTCAGGCATATTTCCTAGAAAAAAAGGGAACAGCATCCAAGTATCCTTCTCTTGAAAATTAGAAAACTATGTTCCAATTTGAAGTGGCTTTTTTTTTTTTTTTTTTTTCCAGTG